TTTTTAAGACAGCATGGGGTTTATTAGATTAAAATAATACCCCAATATATCTATAGTGTATTTTTTGTAACTTGGCATTTTTGGTAAACAAACACACAATTTACATGAAATCGTGATAAATGTGATTTTAAATTTTGAGGTAGTTTCGTCGATATATAATCACGTTTCTTTCAACCTATATCATCTGTGGCAACAACCTCAATCTATAAAAGGACATCACTAATTTTCTAAGGTTTAAAATCGGTCATGTTTGATGTGGTCTTTTGCTAAGTTAAAAATACACTATACTATAGGATGCACTATCGACCTTATTTGGCTTCGACTATTTAGAAATCAACAGACTATAGCCGAAATCCGATTAGACGGCTGTTTTAATTCCACGGTTCCTTTTTAACTCTTTAGTATTTTTTATTAAATCTGAGGGGCTAAAAAAAGTGATAAAGGAATGACGTCACCTTTATCTCATAACATATTATCATCCTATAATTGAAGTTACAAGATCAATATTTCTTACTTCTCAATTATTTTTCTTTATATAATCCTATCTTAAAGGTAATTTTGATAACAAAAATACTCTAAAAACAAATATTCAAAGTGGTATGAGCATAACAAAAGTAATTAACGCGTTTGACATTCGCGACGTCGTGTGCTATGTCCACGTAACGAAGTTTAATTGTATGTCTCCCCGGGGACGCTACAACATTTGCGAAAGGTCAGTGGAACCAAATAGACGTATACGTGTTTCGGGGGTTAGCCAATGTTTACATACGCAAAAAAGATCTTTAAACATAACACCTATTAAAATAAAACACTTTTAAAGCGCGATACATATTAGTTGACTTATTTTAACTATGGCGTTCCGACCTTTCGGCTTTACAAGTTTACAACAGTCGTGGTACAACAACTGTATTATGTTTTGACCGTTGTACATACGTATACTAATAGCTATTATTGTATAGTTGTTTTAAAAATAAGAAAGGTGTTAGTAAGGTAGTTAGGAACTTAAATCATTAATTAGTATTCGTTTTCAAAACGTGGTATACTTCCTGGGTAAACGCTTCCTCCAGCTTCTTCCATTTCCGCTAATTGAGTAGGAATTTCGATACCTTGCGGTCCAGTTAAGAATTCGCTGCATGCTTTAATAGTTCCTGAGTTTGAATCCGGAGAAAAATCATACATAGTTACCGCTCATCATTTGCCCTTTGAATTAAATAAATGTTATTGAAAGACTATGCCAAACTTAAAGAATGTTTGACCTCGCTGTGCACTATTGCAAAAATCCACTAATTCTTATATCGACAATTTAGAACAATTAACTTTTCATTAATGATTCTCACAATATTTACAGTATATGCGCAAATGTATTCGTTTTAACTGCACACTACACACAACTAGGTAGAAAAACTAATAAGATTATAATAACATCATTGATTTCGAGAAAATGCAATTAATATGTTTCTTAAATGTTTACACGTTCTCAGAGAGAAAAATTGTTCTCGATTTTTCAAAGTCAGTTTTCAATTGGGTTTTCCATTGACGGGCATGTTGATTCAATGATATTAGCCTGGCTATAACGAATCCTAGATTCGATTCCCTCCCAGGGAATGTGTAAAAAACGACCATTCTGAAAAAAGTGTAATATGTTCTGAATATTTCTGATTCTTATATGGCTTGTAACAATTGAATCGCATACTTGTCATTCTATGAGGATCCTATGTATCAGAAATTACTCTATTTTAAATTATATATCTCTTAATTAAATTAAATTAATTTCTTAAATTAATTTCTATACATCGAAAATATTCAATGGAAAGTTCTAGTGGCATATTTGGCCGTTGCTTCATCATTAATTGAGCGTATATTTTTATGTCTGTTGTAAAATATTGTCCGTTTTGGCAAGGAAATGTTAGCGTCGTAATATTCGATAGATCTGATAAGGTGCCAACTATTCTCAACTCTACGCCATTTTTATTCAAGTATGACGTCATCCAATCTCCACTCATATTACCATTTGGAATTAAATTACTGAATTTGTTTTGATGAAAAATATTTATTTGACAAGCATAACTGCGTAAAATACAATAAAAACTTGGCAATATAATAAAGAAAACTAAAAGCATATAGCATTTTTCTATGATACAGACAAGCAACCCCATTCACTTGCTGTTGGTGAAATACCGTCCATATGACATCTCGACATGATGCCATTTTGGATTTTGACGCGACTCAACTTTACGGCTTTTCATCTGTGAACGGTGGTACGAGACCCGGGTGGAATTATCGATATTCCTACCGCCCTATTTAATAACCAGAGTGTCAAAGTCATAACGAACACGGTTCACAAAAAAAAATAAGAAGTGATAAGAAACAAATTGCACCCGATGGGGATCGAATCCACGACCCGTTGATTATTAGCCCTACAGTGCTGCATTAGACCAACGAACCCGTATTTTTTTTTTTAATGTTCTATGCTATGCTAAATTAAGGAAACGTTCTCTCTACGGGACTAGGTTTATTGCATAGAGGAAAAGTCAACGAGTTCTACAGAGTATAGAATATGCCCTATTAACTTCGTTCAAGGACCTTTCAAAGAAAGCGCCCTCTACCATTGCAATATATAAAGTAATTCTTATAATTATTAAAATAAAGTCTATAATGCCGTGGCTGAAAATATAGCTAACCGTAAAAGGTGAGCAATAATGAGGTTAGTGGCATTCATTGCATGACAATGGTTGTTCTAAATTTTCAGAATTATCAATAAGTAATTGCTATTGGATTATTATTTCTGTCTTTCTTATTAAACAATTGTTGATATAGACTCGATCAGAATACATTTAATGGCTACGGATACTGCTGTGAGTCTCTACCTGTGAAATAATAAATTAATGCGAACCATATCTTTGCTAGACGTTGAAATAGTTGATAAAACTCATATAATATGTCGAATTTAAGTGGAATAGTTACCCATGTGGGGTATGTGGAGAACTTATTTTTGGGTTCACTAATTGATTTTGTTCATAGGCAAGTATTAGATTAGACTTCGAAACTCGAATCGACTAATTCTTCCTCACGATTCGAACCCTGTTGTTACCACCCTTCCCCCCTCTGTTGTTACCCCTGTGACCTCGGCTGGTGCAAAGCACCCGAAACGTAGAGTCGTAATTAAAGTAAATTAAAAAAATGTTTCGCTTTTTAAACAGTTAAAAATGTTTTATACAAATGTTCGTTACTGTGATTTTTTCGTATAAACGAATCCCTTTATAGCCAAAACACGCGTGATGAATAATCATTAAGCGGTGGCACTACTAAAAATTACTTAATTGTATCGATAAGAAGCAATTTCCCGATAAATGTTAGGGCACGTGGCCTTCCAAACGTGACTAATAACAATTCAACAGACTGCAGAAGAAAGTAGGTAATTAAGTAGTAAGCGAGTGGTATATAACAAATGAAACGCGATCTATATTACTAAACAAGTTAACTTTTAACAATGACCCGGCGTTTCGGATGCTGTATTGTAATCTATCAATTTTTTATAACCTTATGTGGAAATCACAATTGAACCATAGTAAATACTTGTTGGTGTTGAACGAATAACTCGGGTATGGATGGCGAGAGACGTGAAAATTCTCATAGGATTCGGGTATATGAAAATGTTTCTAAGTATGTATGTATTTACATCAAAGTTTAAATTTGTCACCTCTTATACAAGATGTCCACGTAGCGTAAAACATAGTAGTGTGAAGCTCAGTCAATCTATTTTTTTTTATGAATGAGGAGGACAGACTCTCTTGTTATATCGCGTGACATAACATCTAAATAATATATTAAGCTGAAGAAGTTTGTTTGTTTGTTTGAACTCGCTAGATTATCGCGTTCAGTTCGAATTGAAAAAATATTTTTGTGTTGGTTAGAGCATTTATCGAGATAGGCTATAAAACATCGTCCTAATAGGAGCGGAGATGCTGCGGGAAATGTGAAAAAAATTGGGGAACTTATTCATCGTTATGGGTTTCCGAGACGTACGCTGCAAAAACGGTACAAGATACCCCAAAAATATGTATATAAGAATGATTCCTCTTTAAATGATCTAAAAAAAAGTCCGCAACTCTATATGTCTATCTTTTAAGATTATCCCGCAAGAACGACGGGAATGGAAGCGACCGACGTTGTATAAAATAACTATTCCATGCGGACGAATTCGCAAGCATACCGGCTAGTATTTGATAAAATTAATCAAATCTAGCATCCAAGTAATGTTTAAATGTCAAGTCCATCACGTTTAGAATATTGATTAGAAACATGTTAGACCTGTTGATTATAAGCAATACATAGTTATCATTAAACCAACGAGCCACTAAATATCTTTATATATTTGGCAATCAAGCAGTTGGCTTGTCTTGTCTAGATACATGTATATCATCTGTCGTCTCGGTTCGCGAAGACTATTGTCGTAAATTGACCTTTGGGCGAGGACTGACGAGTGTCATAATGCTCAGGTCAAGTGCTCGTTTATCTGGACTTGCCATGCTTTCAGATTTTCTGGTGCTCATAGTTGGAAAATTATATTTTTTTCCATATGATAAAAAACTGACATACAGGATACGTGGTGTTGAGTTCTGGTCCTTTTAAGAGAAGATAAATAAAGGTAGTAATCAAGGCATACTACAGTGAATATAAAAGTGTCGTCAGATTTCTATGAAAGATACGTTTAGAGTTTAGACCGGTATTCGAATCAGGGACGTCTTGCGTATTAAGACAGCGCTTTGGCGTTAAGGTCGAAATTACAGTGCGCAAAACCGCGGACAATAATTATAAATATCGTAACCGTATCTTCGTACCTTAGCCTATCAATCGGCCTTACAAAATGTAACGGGTTCAATTTCCGCCTGTGTCGATATTTCTCAATTCTCCGTCACTTTTTAAACTAATTAATATAGGAATAGTAGGAAATATTATACATATGTACCAAATAGTACGTAGATTTTTTTATTTTACAGCGTTCCTAATATGTGGCCGGCCTATAATATTGGTGAACGTGCTCTGCAAGGAAGCGTTTAACGAGGAAGATTGTAGTCGACTGCGCCAGGTCGTGGACACATCGGTAGCTGCGAAAGTACAGTTGGCGATCATGGGCGATTTTTATTTATGGGATAATGTGCAATGTGAGTACTGAATATTAAACAAAAATCTTACTGAAAACATTAATATTTTTCACATGTTATTGCACATGAAGGCACTATATAATTTAAAAATCAAAAATAAATTGAAAAAATTTTCGACTCGGGCAGGACTTGAACTGGCATCGTCAGCGTTGCGATGCCGGTTCAAGTCCTGCCCGAGTCGACATTTTTTTCAATTTATTTTCGATTTTTAAACTAAGTAGTAGACGCCTTAAACTCTAAATATCTTAGCTAACTTAAACATCAGTTATTAAAAAAACACACACACATTCAAAACGTTTGTAACAAAGGCAGTTGTAGAAGATGTTAGACTTATTTGCAATGTTCCTGCGACAAAGGATTGCGATTTTAATGTGTTTATTACTCATCCTGTTTGTTGTATGGTGCAAGAATATTATTATTAGTTTTTTTTTTATTGTATAAGACTTCGTTCGGTCGTCGTAAATAGATATTTAGGTACACTTATTATAATTAAGGCCATATAACGAAAGAGAAGAACTGGCAAGAGACTCGCCGCCACTCCTTTTATCGTCACTTAATGTGTACATCCTTTTCCTTGTTCGAGCGGGTTCCTCCTTTTCATTTAAATTTTTTTCATAGAAATAACCCTTCCCAAGCAGTTAAATTGTTTATAATAAATCAACAACTATACAAAAACTTTCTTGAGTCCGAAAGCTATCTTAACTCTTATTGAATTTTTACCTTACCAAGTCAGTGTGCTGTGAACAAATTAAAATAAAAGACACCGAAAGCTGTCCAGTCAAGTCCAGATTTGAAATAATGCGATAAAACCCATTTACTCTAATAACTCGCTAACATCTGTAACTTGGGCCACGACGCTAAGTGATAAGCGTCAAAACGCTCTTTGTTTGAAGATTACGTAATCACTGTAATGGACAGAGGACGGACATATCTCTGATAATGTCTGACCTTCGACTTGGGGATTTAAAGTCTAATCGAGTTAGTTTTCTTGTTAGATAAAATGGTACTTTAACTTTAATAGTTATTTGTACGTATACATTGCCTGAAGTAATTAACTACGGCTAAGCTAGCTGGTAAGATAATTTAGTTGAATGTATGGAAAGATTAATTTTTGATATCGTCAATCATTAAATTGTAATACGTTTATCGCGTCTTTGGATTTAAACAAAATGCCATGGCTCTTACCAACTTGGTAATTACATATTTGTGAATTTCTGAAATATTGCCATCTTTAAAATCTCATGTTTTATGTATGTAATCTCTCTTATAATATTAAACCATGTTTGTAAATACATATATGAAATATGCCGTTTTGGAGGAAAATTGTTATTTCTGCTAATAAGTAATTTGTGATCGCGAATAAGCGATCCAAAAATGGTAGGGTTTAAGTAAATTGTGTTTATGGAAATAAGTCCTCGATTCTATCAACTTACGCTTAAGTATATATGATAACATTTTTAACATAAATATGTCTAAAAGTGAGTCGGAAGACTATGATAAAGTTTTTTCTTAGATTACATGTCGATAATAATCTTAGTAACGAGAAATCAACTCGAAAATGTTGCCTAAATCTTGCCATCGATAACGATTATCAGATTATGGAAATATGAATACAATGTTGTACGGTCCAAATAATTCGATTTAATTACTGATAAAAAGGTTAATTGTGTTGGATTTCAAGGCTAGTACGATATAGCAGGTTAATAAAACCTAACTGATATCTTTCTCAGTACCTGTTGTAATAATATGCTTTTGTTAAATGGAGAAATAACACAGGATGTCAAAAATGTTTTTTGGAGTTTATATTTAGTCTCAATGATGTTATTTTTGTTTTCAGCGTTAAAAAACTGCGAATCACTGCTAGACGAAAATGTCAAAACGACAGTCGACGCGAAAACAGTGGGGAAAAGCTCTGTTCTCTGTCCCGCCACCGTAGACAAGAGCAACTTTAACGGTCATTCAGGTACCATAAAATCCGGTCTCTGCCATCTCGCAATACCACGCGGCTGGTCCTGGGGCGGCCCTGCGTCCCCGTTCTGTCCGATTTGGACCGAAATCAACGTGCCCGATTGACGAAAAATAAAAATTGTCGATGGTAGAAAAATATCTGTGGTCTACTGCGCGACGACAGCGCTCCTCCTTCTAGTACAGTGTCTCTATTTCATTTTCCATATCTTTAACTTTCGGCCATTTTGAAATGCTTCGCGCCATTTTGGTGATTTGTAGGTTAAAGGAATCGAACGAACTATTGTAGTTATTTATTGTATTAAACTATTTATTCAAATGTAGATAATGTATCATATTTTTTCTGTAAACAAATGAATTTTTTATCGTTCCTTTCTCTTTCCAATATTTGCGTCCCAATAAAAGTTTAATATTGCGAGATTTCTTTTAGATATTAAGCGACCTGTGGCCAATATTTTCTTATTAATCGCTTTATAATAGCAATAGTTTTCAAAGATGAATTATACGTAGCTATCAAATTGTTAAAGGATTACACATATTTTTGTCTTATACTCGGAAACACCTATTTTTATTATATCTTCGATAGTACATAGAAATCTAAATTAGTATTGAGTACAATCGACGCAATTTTAATCACTTATAAAATTAAAGGTTAAGAAAGGGTAACGCTGTACCTGATAAAAATTCCTCTTTATCATAGTAATCTTGAATTTAATTTTTAATGGCACCAGTTTAATATTTTGTTTGAATTTTAAAGTATTTATATTTTATCCTAAGGCTGTTTTTGTCGGATTTGGTAGACGTGGAAAATAGCAGAAAATTACAAACGCTTGTTCACTTCAATTTATTATTTAGACATAAACATTGTATTTATGTTTCTACAAGTTCAGAGTTTACATTAAAATCCCTGAAATCTTCTATCGGAATTTTAGGCTAATATTATGTCATATCTCAAATGAAATGTGCAATTGAATTGATTGAATGAATCGTCTGATAAACTTACGCAACCGGCTGATAAACGTGGATATACAATTCATAACACGCTTTTACCAACGTGACTTCGAAATACGCGTGTTATATTCGGTGCAAGCTTACGTAAGGGCACAGGGGATTAACTAATTTCTTACTAATACTTTGGGGACGGTATAATTCGGCTGAATAAATGTGTTTCGTCACCACTTTAACTTAAACAAAATCTGCCTTTGGATCCTAATATACCTAATTTAATATTCTAATTTGCAATGATTAAATGATGAATGGTCGGTTGTATGGATGTGAAGCCGATTCATGGAAACTAAAAAATAGATTCAAGTAATATTTACTAAAATAAATGTTTTTTTGTATATATTTTCCTGTAACTGAGGGATTAAAAATCACGCAATGATGAAGCATGAGTTCGGTTCAATTATCAGCTGGATATCAGCTGTATAGTGCTCAATTTTATTTAACTAAAATACCACTAACTAGATATTTTGATAACCTAATTTTTGCTCAATAAGCCAAAAATATCCTAAACTATTTTCTTGTATAAACCTATATATAAAAGAGATGTGATATCACATACAAAGTGTAACTACTTAATATTTTTGTATAATGTATATAGAAAATGATCTCGTAAGCGTAAATTAAAAGTTAAAAGCTATTAATTTATCTAGCGTGACACTAGCAAATACATGGGCGCACTCGGGGGGGAGAGGTGGATATCTAACAAGCAAAATCTTAGAGAACTAAAACAGGATAAAAAAGTATTTTCGTGCTTATTGTAAATAAATAAAAACTTATGGGGCCCCATATGATCAAATATTTACCGGGCTCGTCCAAGTCTGAGTACGCCCATGAGCAATTTTTTTATTATTTTATTGATCGTTCCATATTTATGAACACCACAGTCACAATTTATTTTCATATTCTTTTAATCTGTGACCAGTCGTGAAGTAGTTTTAAAATGTATATCTTTATTGTTATGTGTCGCAATTCGGAAATTACCTATGTTTTGTGATATTTAGTTTAATGGTAACTATGTAAATGTTATTTTATTTTATGACATCGGTGTAATTTATTTGGTGGAATAAACAAACAAATATATTTGTGGTTTTAATTATTATTAATGACAACATTATGAACATTAAAATTGTGAAGATTAAAATACTAGTATCCAAGCTATTAAAAAAAACTTATAATTGGCATTATAAATATCCTCCTTCAAATATACTTTTTTAAAAACAAACTGACAAGTGACAAGACTCTGTCAATATCAAATACTTCACGGTGTATTGTTTTTAAAAAATGCCTGACCCAGCGAAGAAAATAAATTCGCTATTATTTGACGAAGGCACCACATATAAGACCGACTTCCAGACATTTCCATTAAGAGATTATCCTAAAACAGTTTATAAGCCAAAGAAAAGTTGGTACGTCAGGGGGCAGCCGGCGTACAGAAACGTCCACACTCTTACCCCTTGGAAGGGCACTATGCCAGATTTTGGTGCTCTTCACAAAGCCAAGGACGTCGTGAGAACCAATCCTTGGACTGTTCAACCGCCTTATGTTAGTAGATTCTTATTTACTATACAAGTAACGAGTGTATCAATTTAAATTATATTAACTACGTATTGTCTGTTGTTTACGGGAGTTGTTCACATTTAAATAAAACACTTTTAACGGTTTAGAACTAAAAATTATTCAGTTTATATAGATATATGTTTACTACGGCTGGTTGTTTTCAATGTTTTGCAGGAGCCGTAGTCAAGGGGGGATTATATTAACTAATTGTCTTAGGGCAGACAATTGAGACATCATGTCTATTTTGGGTGGGGGCAACACCTTTAGTGCAATGTAATTTCGACCTTAGTAAATATGTATTAGGTTCAATATCTTACGACTTAGAGACTTGTCTTCCAGGAAAAGCCAATAGACGCGGACCGGGAAAAGGCGCAAATGTCTCGTCCACGTTTAGTCATGACGCCTGCCGTTAGCATGGACGACATCAAGGATCCACGAGCTCGTGAAATACTTTGCACAGATATGTACATGAGTGATATGACGAAAGGTATGAAAGAGGCTGTGGCGCCTTATACGAATGTGCGCGCGCCGTTTCCTGGTCTTCCAGCTCCCGCTAACCCTGTGAGTAATTAGCACTAGCTCCTTCTCGCAGTAATGTTCTTTGCCTATTACAGTAGAGCGTCGATTATCCGAAGTAATTAGGCGACGTGGGTGTTCGGAAAACCGGTATTTTAGGATAATTAAACTACCTATATATATATTGATTCAGACATACATATTTACGTATATCTATAATGACAAATATGAAAAAACAAAAAAGTGCAGATATGTAATCTTATAGTAAAACATGTGGTAAAAATCTAGATTTTTTGTCTGCCGAAGCATGCCTACCCGCTTACGAGCGGCTAGATCACGTACTTTGACAGCAAATTTAAATTAAATTTAATTGGGTATTTCATCTATATCTGATGAACCCCTTGCTTGTCTGCCGTCCTCTGTACCAACTACCAAGAGTACTTTTCTCCCAATAGTGCAAAAAAAATGTGATCCTTTTTGCTCGTAATAGTCGTGGCGTTATCCTCTTTTCTTATAGTCGATCCCTATACACTTCCTAGAATGTGACACGTATCGTTTATTTCATATCCCTTTCATTATCAAACTTTGTAACTCCATATGTTGGTCATCACAATCTAGTAAATCCCTAAGGTTTTAAAATTAAGCATGGTCGCAGATTGTCATGCAAAAACTGCAACCGCCGACGGTGTCGCCAGAATGGCGGATGGACAGCGTTCAGTGGGACGGACGACAACTTAGGAGCTTCTGTGACGTCACTAGAGACTTCTGGCTGTCTCATAAACTTCCCAGGTAAGACTAAACAATATATAATTTGTCTGAAACATGTTGGACTTTATCTAGAAATCTGGCAATTTAATTGGTGGAAGGAATATTGAAATTTTGTCTAGGTTACAATGCAGTGTCAGCACATGAAAAAGCCGTGAAGTTAATCACGATTCGCTTTTAGTCCGTCAGTGCTGATTTTCGAATATCCAGAGCTAATAAAGGCCGACAGCGCATCTGGTCGAGATGTTATATGGCTGGGGTATTGCACCTTGCGTCAAATGAACCTAATCTTCCGTTATCATAAAAAAGGGGGGAAATCTTGTACTGGTAGCTGTTCGAGATTAAAAGGGAGTATTTATACTATTTAAAGGGGAGGGGGCAAGATCTATATTATGTTAATTTGTCACTGACCCCTTATTTCCCCCTAAACGCATTATATTTATTACGAAATAATTACTATACTCACTGTGTAGATAGCTATGATCCTGTGGTGAGGACAGGATAAGGTTTAATGGCTCAATTGTCTTGTAATATTTTAGATGTCGGGTCTGCGAGGAGACAAAGATAGTCAAAGACTATAGGGATAATGTGCGGCGAATGAAGCAGAGAAAATAGAAACATTTCTCTCACGGACTTTTTAAGAGGTGTTTTAATATTGTCTATAAAAAAGTTGTTAAGATTTTAGTTTTATTTGTTAATTACTTGCCACTTTATATTCTTATCACGTTATATTTTTGAATATAAATTAGTAAATGCACGCTTGTTTTATTGAAGGGTATCATATTATCTGAAGCAGAATTTTGCATTTGTATAGACACACTAGCTGAGTCAGCGTTTTTTTACATTTCCCGGTGTCTCTTCGATTCTATTATTTATAGCGCAATGTTTTATAGCCTTCCACGATAAATGCTCTAACCCACACAAAAATGCTCGCCTCTGTAGCCAAATGGTTAAACGTATTGCCTAGCATTGCGTTAAGCGCGAGAGGTCCCGGGTTCGAATCCCAGGGAGACAACAAATTGTTTCAGTCGGGCAAGACACAGAAGTCTGATCAACTACTTGCCCGCTAAAAGAACGGATCAGTGAAACGGACACAGAAATGTGTTCGCCCCATGCCCCACGAGGGGGGGAACATAAAAATATGTTTTCAATTCGAACAAGTAGTTCCCGAGCTTAGCGCGTTCACTCATAGAAACAAACTCTTTAGCTTTATATATTAGTATAGATATGTTATACTTGACTGATATAAACCATAGATTATTATTAGTTATTACGTAATTTTTATGACTCGCAATTCAGAAAAATTACGTACAAATTTGACAAATGTCATTTTTGGCACTATATTTCTGCTTTAACGTTTTATATTCAACATTTTTTTTTATTGTTTTATTGGATTTTTGTATTTATTTCTGATATGCCCGACGTAAAGCATTACGATAACATGCTATTTAACTATGAAACTACAAACCGAACAGATTTCCAAGATCCAACATTACTAGATTGTCCGCGGACAGTGTATAAAGGCAGAGGTTCCCGTAGGAAGCATCCTTATAAACCCTTAAAGGATTTCAATACTGTAACAGATCTCAAATCACGTAATTTACCAACAGAATTGTATGTCAAACCAAAGGAAATTGTTAAAACAGATCCTCATTCGATTCAAGAACCACACGTAAGTTTAGCTACTTTATAATTTACTAGCTGAGCCAGCGACTTCGTCCGCGCAAATCGTAATCGTTATTTTGGGCATCCAAGTTAGTTTTTGAAAACCCTGTCTTCTTTCTAAACTTAAGGTGTTAACCACGACGTCGGTCGCGTCCCTTTCCGTCGATCTTGCTGTATCTTCGCTTGTATTAGTCACATGGCGATGTTTTATAGACTATAGCCTACCCTATAATGCTCTAACCAACACAAATAATTTTTCATTTCGTACCTTAGTTTCCGAGATCAGCTCGTTCAAACAAACAAACAAACTCTTCAGCTTTACATATTAGTATATATTGTCTTAATGGTATCTACCATACGATTCAGTAGTAAGAGAAAATAATGCATTGACGATTTAATTTAAAAATCGAAAATAAATTGAAAAAAATTTCGACTCGGGCGGGACTCGAACCGGCATCGTCAGCTTTTGTTTTTTGGTTTCGTTTATTAAACGGCTAGGTGTTGGACGTGGTCGTTTATTTCTTCTAAATTTGCAGAAAAACGTTCCCGATGAAGGTCTTGCTCATGCGCAAGCGACGCGTCCCCGCCTCGTTATGACCCCAGCGCTTAGCATGGATGACATTGAAGACCCCAGGTAATGAGAGGAAATCTTTGATTTGCAAACAGATGCAATCTGTAGCATCTATTATTTGTTAGTTCTTTTTATTACGTCTCTTAATCCAACCATTTTACATCTTACTGACGTTCATAGGTAAAATTAGGTGAACAAATTCTGCTACAGATTGACGATAGTTCCCAGGTTCGAATCCAAGCATGACATGATAAATTGTTTAGGTTATATTCATCTATACTCTTTATGCGTTACTCAAAGGTAATTGAGATACGCACTTACGATTATTACCTTTCCAGTATCCGTGGATTATTGCTGACAGATGTGTATAAGACGACTCTGAACGCCATGCAAGATGAAATTTTGTCATCGCCTGCTAGTTACCGAGCCCCACTCAACGGAAAATATTCACTAGCCAATCCGGTACTTATCCATCATTTTAATCGCCTATTTTAGTTTAGTAGCCACCCTAGCTTTAACATCTTGGCAGTAAGTGAACGGGACGGTCTGGATTCGAATCTAAGGTAAACAATAAATTAGGTATAAAGGGCACAGAATTCCAAACACTACCTGCCTATAAATACAATCGATCAGTGAAACGGACACAGCAATATAGTCGCCCTATGCCCCACGATGGTGATAGGATTTGACGGTAGTTCAATTTTAAAGTACAAGGCATCAAAATCATGACATACTGAGAATTATTTTAAGTGCTTTAGATTGTTTCATAGCTAGATTGGGTTTGAATCCTGGGAAAACACGAAGAAAAATTTAATCATGAAGTGAAATTGGATGGATTTTCTTGACCATTAAAATACAATATTCCTTATGCTTACTATGTATAATATCGATGTTGCTTAACATTGCTTCAGATAACTTTACATAAACTGCAACCGCCCATGGTACCGGCCGAGTGGCGCATGGACTCTGTTTTTTGGGAAAGCAGACAGTTACGAGGTCATTGTGACCCAGATAAAGACTTTTATCTCTCTAAACCTTGGAAGTAAGTGCTTACTTCACTTATCAGATCTGTAACAAAAATGTGGTGACAAGCGCAAAGTTGAACCATCGCCTTACCACATCATCTACTATAACATCATGTCACCATCGACATTATCAGTCCGTATTGCTTCGTGATCACCTGTGAAGCTAAATGGATTAACGTGTTGATTGATCCGGGTTCGAATCTCGGATATATAGTTTCGGTTGGGCACGTAAAATAACCGATTCGTGAAACGGACACAGAAATGTGTTTATACCTTTTTCTATACAGTCTGTAGTTTACGCGAGTAGTACACTTTGCAGCAGTCGTGGTCACGGGGTGACATCCCGTGCTGCTGCAAAGCATCCGAAACGTCGGGCCGTAGTTAAGAATAGTTTTCAAACAAGTTTAACTAAAATATATCGCGTTTAAATCCGTTAAAAGTGTTTTATTTAACTGATCTTTTTTACTTTAATTAGATGCGACGCTTGCGATTTCACTTCTTCAAGAAAATTACAAAGTAAAACGCCCCAGCCAGAACAATAACCTTTATTTAAATAATATACAAGAAATTAGCTTATAGTATTATAATTTTGATAACGTTTATTTTAGAATATTTTGGAAATTGTTAACCATTTTGTATATTTATTATTATTTTTTATGTTATGTTGATTTCGATAATTATATAATGTTCTTAACTGTACGAATAAAATATATTTTCATCATTAATTTGTTTCAAGCTAATGGAAATTTCCATGAGTCAAAAGTGTATGATATATATAGACAAAACTATATATAGTCTGTCAATTGTCAACATATTATGAACACAACATACTTGAAATTGAAGAGTGTAAGTTTAAAAGAAACCGCAGCCATTGTGTATGTGTTTTAAACATTTTTTAAATGTTGCACCAATCTGCGGAATGCGTTTTACAGTTCAACAGTTAACAATCTAACGGAATTTATGATCCACCGACGTAAAAGTAGTGATAAGGAGCTACTACAGATGCAAAGACCATCATCAAATTTTTGTCAGATTCATAACTTAAAACCATAGATTATATACGAATAGATGTAGTCTTACCCTGGCCACAGATAAGACAAAGAGAGTTTATATTTTTGTTCATTGCGGCGTTTAGACTAAAACGCAACCGAAAAGGCCAAAGGTTGCGTTTTCACCCACATCATCTTATTGAAAGAAAGAGTCTGTCTTCCCTTGTCACGAATAAATAACTGAACAAAAACAAAAAAATATTTCTCCATCCTTGTTTCTAACAGGAATTATATCTTTCTATCGCGTCCTAAAATTTAGCGCTACATCTATAGGTATATATATGATGTAATCTTAAAACACTAGTCTGTTATAAGTAGCGGCACGGATCTTTAGCGCTGAACAAATCCTGCGCAGAAGTCAAAAATAACGTATCGAAGGAACGGAAGCGGGCGCGGGGCGAGTGAACGTCATGTGCGCTAGCGTTGATTGGTTCCCCAGTCGTGTTGTCTTTCTCGGACCAATACGACGCTCCGCTTGCTTCTTCAGCCACGTTTTTCAATAAATGACGTGCGCGATTGTAAAGATGCGCAACTACCGTGCCGCAACCTATAACTTTCAAGCTGTTGCTGTTATTGAAAAAACGTTTTTGAGGTCATCACTAGTGCATAACATCATCAGCAGATCTTGCACAGATATTTGCAGATAGGTTTTCAAGCTTTGCAATATGGCAAAAGCCTTCTACAATTTATAATACAGTCAGATGTAATTATAATCAATAGAAACGCCTTATCATTAAAATATCACACCTTTAGACTATCGTGGGTAAGACTTGCAATTTTAAACTTTATATCTATATATTTAAGACATATTATTAACACTTAATATACAATTTCATTTTTTCGCACTTATAAATGTAAATATGTCTTTTAGAATTCATAAAAAATAACAAAAAAACACTACAAATTCATTTCTTAACATTATTTTTCGATGCTTACATTCTGGAATAATATAGGTAAATATTAATCTGGAATAATATTTAATAGAATTAAAGTACAGATAAGGCAAACGTCTATATCTAGCGTTCAACAATAAGTAAAAAAGAAACACTAAATATGTATATATATTTTGCCTTCTAGGCCTTTGAGATTATATTGAGATATAGTTAGTACTTGGTGAAAATTAAAAGTAAAACATGTACTCTATCTACATTGTTGTAATTTATATATGTAGTAGAAGTATTAACGCGCAAACGCTCTTTAAGTAAACCAAATTTTGTTTCCGAACTAATCGACAGTCTTACTTAAGAAACAAGAAATGCTTCTCAATGTGGCTCCATCACGAATAGATGGCATTAGAAAATGTTTAAATATTCTTCGACTAAGTAAGACTAACGCAATGGCAATATGTCAAGAACTATTTCTCAACGACGACCGAACAGCTCGAAAACAAAACCAAGTAGCTTTTCAAAATGGCCGCGAAAACCTAATTTTATATCGAATCTCAGTTGTGTCGTCAAATAGTTTAAATCTGTCAGGTCACAGTAAAGACAAGCTACTGTATAATAAACATCCTATTAACGATTCTTCCGTCCACCATTTCCGTAGTGATACGGATTTTGGGTCATATTGCTGTACAAATAAGGCATATATTCGCTAGGGCGAACGCTGAATTCTGTCTCACGAGTGGATTTGCGTCCTTGATCAGCTGGAGAAGGCGAGTTCGCGCTGTGCGAGTGATGTCTGGGTCTAGGCTTGTCTCGTCGGAGTGTTGAGGCTGTATGCGGTATAAGTCTGCGTAGAGATATCCTGGAAACGACAGTCATAAAAGCCATGGTTTTGGGTAATTGAGCAGTAATCTATACTGATATTCTTGAAGAGGTCGTTTGTTTAAACACGGGCTATCGAGGCTTTAGGCTATATTACATCACGCTGCGCTGTAAAAGCGGTTCAAGAAGCCAAAAATATATATTTGTGAAAGAAAAGTTCCTCTTTTAATTATCCTAAAATATGCCCGTTAAAACCAAACATACTGTTTTTCAGCATATATTTTATTATTACACTACTACTTGCCACTATCCTTTTGGTTTTTGTTTTTTCGTTACTTGTAACTCATCGATAGATGGCGCTAAATGTCAATCCCAAAGGATATTATTATTAAACTAACATTAAAGTATACATCTAGATAATTGAGGCTTCTAGAGGCACAGTTGCCTAATAACGAAAAACATGATTTTCAATAAGGAGGTGTAAGAATTAAGTTAATCATTTTCTGTCACTGTACTCTTGCATATTAACATTATTAGACTATGAAAATATAAATTACACATGTCATAAAATTGCAGTTAGGCTATTCTGCCTCCAGCGGCCTCAATTACCCTTCCTTTTCTTGTATCATTCCAAAAGGAAAACGTAAATACGATGTAGAACTTACCAACTAAAAGGGGAGCGAATGGTTTTAAATCTTCCCTTGCCGTATGTAAATAATTAACAGCAGTATGTAGACACTTGACTACAGCACTCGGCATTTCGTCGGCTAGCTGCCTCAAAAGGGCACAAAGAAATTCATCCAAATACAACCTTCCTTCATCTAAGAGATGGGTTTGAATGAAATCGTTTGATTTACGGACGTTGAAAGTTTTGAATAGCTGCCTGAGGGTAGATTTACAAGCCTGGAAATACAAGTATATAGTTGTTATTTAACTAAATTGAGGTGGTAACGAAACCGTGTTTATTATTTAAATAAAACACTTAAACGGTTTAAAACGCGAAATATTAGTTAAACTTACTTGGAACCGGCATCCAGGGCACGGAACACTCTGGATGCCGGTTTAAGTGCCCTGACCGTGTCAAAAAAAAAATTCAATCTAAAATTGATTATCAACCTACATAATGACATCATGTGCAAATATGTTAAAATATTAAAGTTTTCGAGATAAGAATGTTTCTACAGTTTTGTATACATCAGAATTAGGACTCACCCTGACAACAGCGGGATTGCTGTCACATAAATGCAACAGGAAACAAGGTAATGAACTAACAGCTTGCTCCATTAGACCTTCCGATTGGACTCTCTCCGCGATTATACCAAAGAGGCGAATGGAGTTCTCTCTCAGTTGGCTACACTCAGTATTCATGAAGGGTCTGATCTTCTGCGATATTGCCAAGAGTTCCCTATCGAATTCCTTGTCAATTTTGTCTGTTTCCGTGAGTAGACGGCTTAGACCTTGGATGGATGCGAGAGGGATGTTGTCTACTGGTGACCTGGAGAAAAACAAGATGACGTAGAACTTTAATTAATACCCAGGGTGTTAAGGTCCAGATTACGTTGTAGCACGTAAGGAGAATAAAGCACTCTTAAAGGCAATTGCAATGAAATGGTATGCTGTTATGTGTATGGTTGTGCGTTTCTCTGCCTGAATCGCCATTATTTTAAATTTCCATACGATACTACTACTGAAAGTGAGTTTATTACAGTGACAGTACGATCAAAATAAATGAACAAAGGGAATAGGAACAATAATTTAGAACCTTTTAATTGTTTTTTACAAAAATATATATGTTTCCTTGTAAATACAAAAAAAAATGATTTTCGCAATAACAACATAGATTTTTCATTTAATTTAACTTATTACAATACAAAAATCTTTATAACGGAAAAATTACAATAAACGCAATTTGTTCATCAAGTTACAATTATGCGACATGGCTACCGTAGTTTTACTCACGGTAGTTTCTGAGCATCTACCCCTTGGCTTAACGCTGCTAGGACTGAAGGAAGAGCGGTGATGCGCTGCTCTCGATTGAGCTGGCTAATGTTGGCTGCACCCCGAAGACAGGCTGAACGCACCCGAGGGTCTTCGTCCTTCCACCCCGAGTTGAGGTTCGCCAGCACCGTTTCGATGAGTACTACGTTGTCATTACAACTGAAATAAATATTTGTAGTAATACTGTATACAAAGGAAGTTGAGTATGAATTTTATTGAAATAAAGATTAGAAATAAATGCTCTTATTTTCAAACAATGGGGGCAGAACTAGTTTTGTTCGAGATAATTGCGGTCCCATAACAGACCTAAAAGGTAACAGAGATACGCTATTAGCCGTTTAAGATCACCGAACAAAATAAGAGACATACTATAAAATAAAAGTTGATAATGATATTTAAAGCTATTATATTATATTTTAACATCTTTACATACACACCATTGACAGCGAATCCAGAGGGAGTGGGAGGGGGGTTGTTCAAATCAACACAGAAGCTACTTACCGATAGTTTAATAGATCTGCCATTAAAGCCAGAACGGCGCACCGTTGCGGTGGTAAGGCCGAGCGACAATACCCGCTCAGCTTGGATACCAGCTTCGACAGATGAGCCGGACACGATCGGCTGATGGAGCTGCCTAATATCGGGGCCAGTTCTAGTATTGTACTAGAACTATCTCCATGTTCTATGCTAAGGCATAATGAACAAGCTTCTTTCACCTAAAATCGGAATTATTCAAAGGTTCTTAATTCGCATTTATTATCTGTTTGGGTATTACCAACACTGTATATGATTTAAATAATCGGGATGAGGTTAGACCCTTGCGTGACTCCAATACATAACTTAAGTTTTAAAAGCGTAACTATATTAATATCTGTTTTTTTTTATATGATATTAATATAGTTACGCGAACACAGACAGGCTTGAGTTCTTTTAATGAAAGGTGATATGCCCCAGCCTTGTAACACCTATGATTAGCCTATAAAACAGTTTAGTAATTTACTAAAATCTTACCTTATAACAATCAGCTCTCTCCAAGAACGCGTTAAATGTGTTCACTGTTATTTTAGCCGGGGAGAGTTTTATGGCTTCTCTGTTTGGTATGAAGCCGAACCTCTCTTGGCCCTTATTCGTTGGAACGACGTAGGCTGGAGGTTCTGCTTCTACATAGCAAGCCAATGTCGTATAGAGAACGGCGAAAAGGTCCGAGAATTTGTTCATACAGATGGAACGCATTGATTCTTCTTGTAACATTTCTCCTAGAGCACTTATCAACTGAAAAATTATGTAAAGAACTTATTTGTATATTAATCTTTCTTTTGCTTGTCTCACTGCTTGGTATTTCGACTTGGTAAAAAAAAGTGAATAAAATCAGTCAGTCAATAAAAAACTGGTTCAATCATTTAGTCTGTTCAAGTCAAATTATATTCTGTTTTTTTGATAAAAAAAGTTAAATTGTTTTTACTGTCATAGGCTGAAGAGCGGCAATGTGATGTTCGGTTATGTGGTAAGGATCTTCGTATAATTCGATAGATGTCATCAGTCGAAGGAAATTGTCCAAAATAGAAACTGATAGGCCCTCGTCTCTCGCTAGATGGCGCCAACAGCTTATTACACAACTGAAAAGTTAGATTTATTCAATCTTTTTGTTAATAAAAAAAACTTTAATACATTAGGACAATATAGTGATCGGAAATCTAGTTGTACATGAATTTTTCAAAATCATAAACAAATTTTGATATTGAATAACAAAATAAATATGGCTAAGATACCTATTCACTTAATAGCATCAAGTACGGTTCTAGATTCGTATTTAAATTTAGAACTTACGGTCTTAACGGTATCCTCTGCGCCAATAGTACGGCAGTGACCGCATTCGAGTGATGCCTGGTCAAAGACATGAGAGGCCGCATCAACCTCGTTCTAGCGTCGTTCGGAACGACCTCCATCGTAGCCAACATAACTTCCACTATCCGCTCAATCGTTTGGTATAGATCTTGCCCTTTCTTCACAAAGAACGCGTCGAGAATAGAACTTATTCCGATACTCCTGAACTCGTGGTCGTCGTAACTTTCCAATAGACTCTCAATAAATTGCATCGTATGCAAATGAGGTATCTTGGGCGAAATCGTATCGCACAACCTCATACAGTAATCGCTAATCATATATAAATCATTAGTCAAAATATTGTTCTGTAGGTGAGCCAAGTTATTCATGCATTCGTCTTCCGGTTCAATCGTATGCCCTTCATATAAATCTTGTATTTGAATTATCAGTTTAATGCAGTCTACTGTTGTCAGCCGCACCGGGAAGTTAGTATCAGCCACTCCTGGAACTATGAGACCAAGTAAGTAACCCATTTGTCCGAACTTGCTGGGCGCTTCGTAGTTCAACTTCACGTTTTTGATATACGCGTCGAAGACTACTTGGAGTATGAGAACTGCCGCTGTTCTGATCTCGTCGTTTTCGTTGCGGACCCATTCTATAAGAAGTCCTATTATGTCATCAATAGTACTGAGACATGTAGATTGGATTATCAACTCCTTAATCAATTCGTGTAGCAGAGTCAAGGAGTCATTTAGTGTTTTCGCAAGGAGATCATTCTTGTCACCGTATCCTTCTATCTCATACTTGCGTTTGAAAGAAGAGAGTTCTCCGAAAATGCTATTGAAGAGAACGCGCAGTATTCTATTCCTCTCCTCGGGTAGAATGCCTTTTTGTAACTTTGTCAAAGCTTTGGATGCCTTCACTATAATAGGATATAATTCTACATTTCTCTTTTCCAGATTGGAGTTATATATTTGTTCGAGGACTGCGTTCAAAAGTTGCCAACGATTGCGCAAAGTCACGTTATGATGTGACGCCGGATGCAGAGCCTTACTAATCTCATAGAGCGTCGTGACACTTGCTTTACAGAGATCAAACCCTGGGTTGGATTTCAGAATTTCAAAGAGAATTGAAGTGACGTTCTCTCCTAATCTTGCCAGTACATGAACGTCCAAGCACTCTCTAGCGACTTTCCCGTAGCACGTTATTAAGGCGTACTTAACTACTGAAAGTTCTGCATCGTTTTTCGACGCTCTTGATGACAGGAAGTTCAGCAGTTTATTACTACGTTTTGCCTCATTATCTTTGTAAAGCGAATCTAATTCGTTTAATACGGCTTCGCCGTGTTGCCTAGATGCAATGCCAATGGCTGTACTGACATACTCTACGCTCTCCATCGGTATAGCTTTTAATGCTAGAAGGATGATTTTGAGAACATTTTCCACGGCAGCTGCATTCGACATGTGACAGGATAATATTGCTAGATACTGCAAGGAAACTCCCTTAATCATGGGGGATTGTTTCTTAGATAAAATCTGCTGTGAGACCAACGTAGATATTTTCTCTACCCATTTATTATTGTTGACCTGCTCAACCGCAGATACTAAGAGATCCAGCAACATACCGTGCCACTGTTCTCTCGATTCGTTCTTCTCTACGTACTTTAGCAAACGGTCTACTTCTATCGTCCAGGAGTTTTTTAAATTCTTATGGACGTCACCCGAAAACTCTTCTAAGAATACTAGGAGATTCTTGTTCCTGTCATTTTCATCGGGATCGACTATGTGCATCAGACACCTGACGAATATAATGTCGGATGAGCACTTGGCGTCAACGACGCTTTCAACTGGTTCATCTACTGAAATATTGGAATTATTTTGCAACAACGATGTCAAGCAATGGCTGACTGTAGACATAGAGGAGGTGAAGTCTTCTACTGTTAAAGCATTTAGAAGAAGATTAAGTAACTGCGTCCGTACACTTGTTACAGTATTGCACATAAGGATAAGCGAATTTTTGCAGGTATCGCGAACATCCAAAGTTTCGAATTTCGATACATGCGCCGGACCTTCATATCCGCAGTGTTTGACTATGAATTCAACCATCGCAAAATCTTCCGTCGCCATAATACAGTTCCTATATACTAAAGCGACTATCGCTTTCACCAGTGTTTTCTTCATCTTAATCCCCTGCTCCATTACAATCATCACTTTCAGAATCGTAATAAATTTAGTCGCAAAATTGTCGATAAACACTTGTGAAGACGTCGTCAAATGCGTCAATATAACTACGGACCGCATTCTTTCTTTTTCCTGGTTATTCTTACATAGATGAAGCAACATTTCGATAGTTTGGTCCGGGTACTGTGTTGCCATATGATCGAAACAGCGCAACACTTCAAAATGGTTTTTAACCGTGTGAGGCTGGTCATAATCCGGTTCGAAAAGGACCAAACTGAACAGGACGTGATTTATGGAATTAATTACATTGTCATTTAGGGACAATTTGGGATTTAAAGGGGAGGGTGCTAGTAAATACGATATGCATTGACTGATGCAGAAGAAATTGATTGTTGGTTTACGATACAAAGAAAGCAATGATAGGACGAATTTGTTGACTGTTTCATTGAACTGACGCTCAGAAATTAGCCTGGTAATGGGCCCTAAAGCCTCTAGCACCGATTCTGATACTTTAGGCTCGTACGAGGGTAACCATTGGTTGTATAGGACATCGAATACAATCGAGAATTCTGTGACAAAATTTTCCTTTATCGACGTTATATTATCGTTTTCCACGTTGTCACCTATTTGTTCGGCCACAGCTACAGCAAAATGCCCGAACGCTGTAATGAAATATAAAGAACGTTACTATTAAAGGATAATTATTTTGAATGTTTTGTAAAAGCCTTTTAAATAGAGGTGTGGACCAAACCAGATATAATGATGAATTTAATATTATCAACAAACAATAATAACTAACGAGATGTTTACCATAAGAAAACGCTTGTTTGTCGCCATCTTGCCGGACTAAGGGCAGTAGAGGAAGCATTTTGCCAAGAATCTCCTTGATATGCGGCACCATTGACCTCGTGTTCAGCATAGCTAGAGTGCCCAGGGTGTGAGCTATTGTGTAATGGGGCAGCGTTGCAGGCGATAGGTGATTTATCAATGAACGGAGGACCTGAAACAAAAAAGTAGGAGATAAAATGTTTAATAACAATAGAGATTTCTTAAGTAGTAATAAATATTATATACTACAATATGAAATCACTAATATATATGATAGGAGTATCCACAGCAAAAGTAGTTCAACAGCACATTTTGTTGAGATGTATAAAACAGCGGGGGTATTTCACCTAACATCAAGTACCCCAAGCCTCCTCTGTCCTCTATCATAAAAAAACAATTCTAGAATTTAATATATATGTCATATTACACAGAATTATTTTATGGTGGGGAAAACTCCTAGTTACCTATTTGTCTGTAAAATGGTAAATAAAATTGTTAGTTTAATTTAAATTATCCAGTAGTGTTGTATGTAGTCAAATTTAAGATGTATCAAATATCTGAAAGGCGAAAGGTGACTACAGTTTTTTTTAGAGACTGTCAAATAAACAGTATAAAATAAAGCATAACCTCAAAAACAAAAGCTTTCACTAGCAACAGCCACTAGTCAAATATGTACTGTAAAGTGTACAAATGTATAAGTGAATCTAAGAGGCAATGATGAAAGATGATACATAAATATAATATGTATATAAATTCAATTCATATAACAGTAAACACACCAGAAATATTATTTAATGCTATTAAAAGTAACTACAAGCATGAGTTTATGACCTTAATCAATGCAGCTTACAATTAACACATAGGGCTTCTTCCAATAATTAGTGTCATGGCAGGAGGTTACTGTTAGGTAGTTTTACTGTCAAAATCCAGATATTGAAAAGATAAGTTTGTAAACAATGTATGGCAGGGGGTAGACATATTTCTGTCCAAGGCTCATTTTTTTTCAACCCTGCCAAATCCAAATTCAACAACGCTCTTGTTTTCGATTTTTAAATTAAACCCTCTTGTATTCAAACTAACGATCTCTGGCACTTAATGCAATAATAAAACTACTTCAGGGGTGGAATTTTGATTTATTCAAATCAACACAAAAAAATAGAGTGACAGAATAGTATATTTGTTTATAAATCCACACATGCTATTGATAAACAGTATCTATTTTATAACAGTAACAATATAAGTACTCTTTCAGATAAGCTTTGGTTGTATTTTATTACATTCTGTGTACTGGTATGTTTTAAAAAAGTTAAACAGATGCAGTGCCAACATTTAAGAAATAAGTGACCTGTTAATTTATATGTTTGCACCGTGAAGCTAGTAACTTACGAACTATGTTAAATTTAGATCAGCACCAAACACATATAAATTTGCTTTCAGCATCTCTAAAGCTTTCAGATTCTGCCCCTCTAATTGCTTGAATCCCGAAGTAACTTCATAAATGTTTAAGTTTTAGCATGAGGCTTGATCTTCTTCTTGCCAGTAAATAAAATGAATTTTTGAACTTTAAGCCAACATGTGGCAAACATTTGAGTTATATATTCAATAGAGCAAAACTTACAACATCCAAAAACTCATGTCCTACAGCAACTAAAACGGCGGACGCTCCCATCTGGACTGTGGGTTCGTAAGATGGGTTCTCTGTCATAGCTTTTAACATGCAGTTCACCAGCTCTCCAGCCACATCTGGTTTTAACTTTTTGACTTGACTTACACATGTTCTCTCTAACACCCTGAAATTAAAATATAAGCTAGCTCAATAATTAATGTACATTTCAACACACAAAAATGTTGCATTTATATGGCTTACTAAACTAGTATACTAACTGAACTCAATGAGCATTTAAACTAAAACATTGAATTTGATGTAAAATGAACTTTACGTACATTAAGCATTCTTCTGCATAATATCAGCCTAAACTACTTTGTATACACTACAGTAAGAGATCCGTGAGTTTTCTTTAGTAAATAATAATAATAAAAACTTAACGTCTTTATAATAGTAGCTACTTAATAATTTACATATTTAATAAAAAAACTTGTTCTAAATATACGTACTTAACGATATTTCCAGTTTGCGACACATTAATGCGTACAGTATTTTTATAAAATTCGCAAATAATTTCGATGACTTCATTTGGATATTTGTTGGCTATTTTCGAAATAGACTTAATTATGTTGTTATTTACGGAGTTATCAGTGTCTCCTAGAGCATTTATTAGCACATTCACCGTATCTGTAAAACAATAACAAGTTAACGAAATGACGAAGTTACTAATTATGTATATAGAAATACCTAGCAAGTATTACCTTTGAGGCATTCTAGATCTGCCCGAGCCATTTTAGAATAGTCATCGGTATATTAGTATTCTAATTAAGTTGTTATCGATAATCAATGAAACTGTTTTTTAAAATGCAAATTCACGTCTCATTACTCAAGTCTGCTCCTTTCACAACGCCAGCTGTATTTCGTTAAAGTCAAAACAAGTTATACACTTGACAGACTTTACTGACACTGACAACACAACAGTGTTAACTTTTGAAGATACTCTCATTAAATGACAATTTACTAAAAATATAATATAATATTATGGTAACACCAACTAAAGGCATGTTCACAGTACTTATTGTACGTACATTTACGTACTATTATATAATTTAATTTAACTCGTAAATTCTTAGCCATGAGGAGGCCCTATAATTCACATTTGTCATTTATGTTTGCAAAGTAGCTCGTCTTTTATCTTTGTTTGGATTCTGATAAAATCTTATCTTATCGTCTGAAGAGCTGGCTCCCTAAAGACACGCCGACCACCATTATGAGGAACAATTTAATATAACACAAAATAGTTTTTTTTGTTAGACAAATAAGAATATATGAGAATATGCTAAAAGAAAAATACATACGAGTTATATATTAACAAAATGAAAAGCTTGTAATATAATTTTTCACACGTAAACAAATACACAATATATGTATTATAAACGAATTTATACCGACATACTTGAACAGTTTTAAAATACTTTTTTCTCTTAATTTTACTGTCTCTTAACTGTAATTTTAGAATTTTAAGTTAATAGGAATATGAAAAACAAATCAAGAAAAAACAATCTCTTTTCTTCATGTAAGTGCCTTTTACATTTCCTTGCATAAGGAATTCATTTATTTTAATATTTTATTTGTTATTTGACAAATAACAAATAAAATATTAAAATAATAGTATTAACTATAAACAAAAATGTATAGATAAGCTTTAACATTACAATTTACATGTAACTCTGCTCTATAAGCTCTTTCACACTAGTCTATGGTTGGGCGTTTGGTTAGGTGACGGCAACGTAAAGAGGCGGCTAGATGTAAATTTTGTTACAAATTGCAATTCCCGACTGCCGAAGATCGTCGGGTCAAATATATTTTATCAATACTACACAGCTTTATTTCAATCAAGTTGCATCTTTTATCATAAAATAATTTTTACCAACTTATTTTGACTGGTACCCTGCATCGCGACTTTCACCGGATACATCGATAATTTGATTAAACGAAACAAAGGTGGTAAATTCCTAGCCCAGTGTCTCTCACGATGTATCCGTGCGTATGGTCAGTTACGTATATAACTGTGTGATGTACTGTGTGGTTCGTTTAAGTGACAAAGCAAAGTCGTCAGCTCCAATCTACTCGCCACTATTATCCCATCCGTGATTACATTGCGGCGGGAGCAGGCAGCGCGGGTTAGTCGCCGCGGGGACTCCAAAGCGGTAAATACGGAGTCGCGAATCCTGCTCCGAATCATTTATCGCCAGGATTTCGGTGAGTCTACGCTTTTCACTGACGGCCGACGGGCGTATCTGACATTGATTAGCGCAAGATCAGGTGCCGCACGTTCTTAAAATAGATGTAATAGCGAGCCTCCTGGCAGCGAAGGTAATCAGCTGATCCATACAACGCTTTAATTATATCCAATTAGATAATTAAACGTGAGCGCGCCCGATCTTGCGCGATTCAAGTAGTTCATTGTAGTTCTGATAGCTTATCGCGATAGTGTCGCTTATAGAGTAATTTGCTGACACACTTCTCAGTGATTACAGCGAGATTAATTGCTTTCAGATTTGAAGATGGTGCAGCAAGATCTAACTTAGTTGGACTGGTTCACGGTCGTGGGTTATGGCTCTTTGGAGCTCATTGGTGTGAGTTCCTAGTGAGATAAACTGGGTTTGTGTAGTGTAGTGCAGTGTCTAGTCATTAGTGTGTGGCTAAGCCCGGGATGCCAGCCGTGATGTTGTCCGCAGTGCTGGAAGAGGAGGCTGACTTGTATGAAGCTTTTCCTCCTCATGTTGACCCTTCAGGGATCACTATATTAACTGATAGTCCACCTGGTGAGTACTACTAGAGATTTAAAATTATCTGACAAATAAAATGAGCTATACAAATATTGACTTGTTCACATACATTGTATTATCTAGTTGTAAATGTTTACAGAGACTTGTGATTCTACTGTGTGTCTTATGATCTTGTAATTGAGATTATTATGTTCATTATTTTAGTGCATGTAAGTAAAGAAAACTGAAATCTACTGTAAATCATAAAAAATCGCAGATAAAAAAAAATACATGCTGTGATTTCTAATTATTATTTTGAATATAAGTAAATTATAACAATTTAATAAATTATGTTTAAAATACAAAGTTAAAGTAAAGGAGTTTACACCAAACCTAAAAAGAAAAATCTTATTTTCAACTGGTTGCCAATATTATACTCTAACAAAACTAAGCAATAATTGTGCAAAGACCACATGTCTCTCGTTATTCACACACGTTTTATTATTCATGGCTATAAAAGTATGTTGTATCTCTTTGTATAAAGATGGATTGTGTAGTTTTATCTTATAGGATTGACACTTCAATAATATTCTGTTTATTTATTGTCATAAATAATTGAAATTATATAGTAGAGACTCACATCCCTGAGATCATATATATAGTTGAGAGTCATATCGCTTAGATCATATGGTGAGTGACTCAAATTAATAATAAGTAATATTATGAAATAGAGCCTAACTTTATATTCGTGCAAAATGAACAAAAATTGCCTTTTTTCATATTTACTATCCTGCTATTTTATATTTCATTAATATTATTCACAGTAGCTTCTACTGTTTAGGTGTCCCCTAATTGTTGTGGGATGTTAGTTGCTATTATAATATTATTAGGTCAGGTCTAGCAACTGCTGCATTACCACTAGACCCTATTGCCATTATACCTTCTCTTTATTTCATTCGTAATTTATACGACAAGCATAGAAATTAATGAATAAAAAAGCATAAAAGTATTTACATCACAAACACGGATACAGCCTAATTCCATTTGGCAAGTCCCTGTTAATTTGTTACTCATGAAATCAATTGTTTTTCATCTAATTTTATATGCTTACAATTCAGTGCAAAATATAAAATAAACTACTTAATATTTTATATAATATAAGTGGGTTAATTTTCTAAATCAAATTATCAACATGACATTCAATGTGTTTCGCCAGAAATTTCTTTTAAAAAGTTCTTTCTGTATGGTATACAAACTGTTTTTTTTTAAATATAACTTAGGTTTCCATTTTTCTAGTCAGTTGATAAATTTAAAAATATATAAAATTGTACAAAGTTTCTAGAGACGATATCTCTACATAATTAGCTAATTTGCGTTCTGAATGAATGTAGGTCACAAGATAAGAAAGACACCTTCTTGGCGAATTAGTCGCGTAATTTATTATCTGTTTTAATTATTGTAAACCTGAAAGTTGAAATTTTCTAAACAATTACGAGAATATTATTGAAGTGTGCTTTATTTTGTATTATTAAGGTCTTCTTTCTGTTTAATGTGTTTCTGAATGAGATAAAAAAATTCGAAATCATATCAATGGGTTATGAGTTGTACACGCCGATAGATTTAAATTGTTATTTCTGATGATCCGTCCGCTCTTGATGGCGAAACGTCGAGAATCTCTTCTCGCTTGCCTCGGCCCGAAACACAATAATATGCTGAACGATGGCCGTAAAAGCCTTACACAATTTATGTAGTGACAATGTTCTAATAATTCTGTCAAATTTGTGTATCTGTAAATTTCTTGTGTAGCGACAAGCTATCTTAATTTTTTTTTTATTAGCATAAGTAGAATACCAAAATACTTAGTTTTATTTTAAACTTGCGCGCACACATGCGGGCTCGTATTTAATTGTTAAACTGTATGTTGTACCATGACTTTACATACTATACTCTACTTGATTTGCTCATATACGCAACTATAGACCGCGTTTCCTTGAACGTGGCATCGATGAGGAGTTGTTGTGAAACGGCGATACTTAATTCGTATCGAATTGTTTAAACTTCAGAGAACAACCATAACCTAGCCAAGATTTCACTTCGTGCCTTGATATGGCGCGAAGCATTGTTACGGCTTAGTTGCTTTGTCCCTTTCTAGTTAGTTTCAGTAGATCTCAGTATGAAACATACACACTTTTTTGAATCGAATTAAAACTCTATATATATATTCAATATTCGCTGTGCCCCGCGACAAAATTTTTATTGCAAACTCTTTGTCGTTCTTGCAAGTTAATCTTAAAATATAGATACGGTCGTGTATATTTTATAGAACCTTTAAAGAGGAATCATTCTTTCATACATGTCTTTTTGGTTCTCGAAACGTTTTCGTAGCTCACGCAACGGTAGCTCTTTAAAGATTAAAAAATTACCTTGCTCTTTTCACATTTTCCACTATTTCCTCGCTTCTATCTGATGCTATAAGCCTACATCGATAAATCGATAATCTACCCAACAACAATAATTATTAAATTCGAAGCAGTAGTTCCTGAGGTTAGCGCGTTCAAACAAACAAACTCTTCAGCTTTTAATATTAGTATGGATATTCAATTAACTATTTAACAGTAAAGGATAATAATATACAATTAATATTATTTATATTAATGGGTAAATAGAAGTTGTTTTATTCTGCTCCTACCCAAAATAGTGGGTACAGAAATTACTTGACCAGAATGTTATTATTAAATCACAATGTATCCCAGATAGCTGACGATAAGCGGATATTTTAACAGTGGAGCTCTTGAGAGCGTTATCAGCGAAGATGTGATTAGGTTTGTTTATTTTCTTATCGCGTTCTCGCCTAACAATATAGGAAATGAGATCGCGAGTCGCTTTTACCGGTTCTAAAGATTCATAAATCCTTTTTTTTTACTTTCACCAAAATACTGAACGGATTTAAATGAAATTTGGTACAAATATTGGTAAGACCCTGAGGCTAAAGTAACATAGTCTATTTTTGATTGCTGAAAAGGGGGTTGTGGGGGATTGAAAAAGGGGAAATGTTTGTATGGAAATTCTTGGTTTTTTGAAGCTAGATCAATGAAACTTTCTTCTTTGGCTTTTTGAATAGAAGTAGAAGTGGAAGTGGCAGTGGGAGTTGGAGTAAGAATTATGTGAGGTGAGAGTGTTGCAGTAAAGTAGCACTTACAACATAGATTGGCTGCGCTAATGCGCAATTATATAAATTAATACACAGCCTAAATAATAAAAAATTCTATTCCAAGTCACTATTTGCACGCGAACAAAGTCGCGGGCACAGCTAGTGATCTTATATATATGAAAGAGTGTTGATTGTATAAAACGCAAAATGTATTGCTTTTAACTTAGTTTTTAGTACTTATCTAACTCGCAAACGTCGCTGTTAAAAACTAGTCTAACTGTTATGACTTACTTTTTTAACAGTCGAAAGTGTTTTAAAATTTATTTAATTCCTTAGTGTTATGTACACATTATACAGAAATTGAATATATTACGATAAAATATTTAAAAAACAATAATGCAGCCATTAATTTTTAGTTAGGTATACAAAAAATAAATGTACATTGTATGTTTATATACTTTGTCTGTCTATCGTAAGAAGTCCTTGTGACAAAGCCACTTGTACGTGTTTATGAGTAAGTCTGCAATTATGAAGTGATCAGGAAGCTATGATACTTCCGTTGAACAAAGTGTTTACGGCAACACATAGTTTGTAGTATGTGTCCGTTTTATTATTTGTATCATATGCTGTAAAATTACTGTTAAAATGATATCTCGGACAAAATAATTATTATATTTTACCATGATTCGAATTTGAGACTGCGCATGAGTTGATGGTATATATACGGTACTAGCTAAGTCAGCTACTTCGCCGCGTAGAATAGTTATTTAGGGTTTTCAAATTTTTTTTTAAAACCCCCTTTTTTAAATTTGGGGTTTTCCCCGGGGGGGGGGGGGCCCCCCTTTTTTTTTCCAATTTAATCGTAAAAGATAGACATATAGCGTGCTGACATTTTTAGATCCTATAAAGAATCATTCTTTCATACATATTTTTTTGGCTATTTTGAACCGTTTTCGCAGCGTACAGATCGAACCTCAGAAAGGCTGTATATTTTCCCCGCTGTCCCTTCGCTTCTATTAGTCACATCGCATTGTATTATAGCTTCCTCGAAAAATGCTCTAACAAACACAAATCTTCTTTCAATTCAAATCACTAGTTTCTGAGATAAGCGCGTTCAAACTAATTCTTCCGCTTTATATATTGGTATAGACTATATATACCATTTTATTGTTATACGAATTATAATGAAATAATCTGCTAGGTTACTGAAAGTGACTTAAAATACTAAGTGTATGTAATAGACAGGCCAGTAATTACCCAACTTGATACGCGAAATTAATGGACTTCTTTAAATAAAACTGTTAAGGTTTAAAACGCGATATATTAGTTAAACTTATTTGAAATATGATTTTTAGACTATATCGGCCCGGACGTTTCGGGAGTGCTGTTGCAGCAGCCGTGCACCACGGCTGCTGCAAAGCATGAGATAACGTCTGGCCTAGGTTACTGAAAGTCATCTTAAAATAAGTTTAACTAAGTGTATCGCGTTTTAAATAGTTAAAGTGTTTTATTTAAATGTGTACTACTCGCGTAAACTATAGACAGTATTTAATGGAAAGCTTCCAAATTATGTGCGATTAACTTTCACAAAATTGTAATATTAATCATATACCTATTCTGTACTTTGGATTATAATTCGCGGATTACACAACACTATTATGGCATTTGCTCCGGGTTTACAACACTAGGAAATCTTTGCCAAACATAAAATGTTTTAGTGATAATAGAAAAAATATGATTGAGAAGATCTGTATGATGGTATGTTTATCAAAGACAACGTTCGTGTTTGACGGGCTCATTGGTCCAATGGTGGAAGTATGGCTTTATGATCAACGGGTAACAGGTTCGGTAATAACATGTTTCTAATTATGTTTTTTTTTAATTTTCTGTAACATCTGTTAGCAAA